GAAAAAAGACTGTTTCCTGAAAGTTTAAAAAAATGAATTAAGGACACATTTATTGGTATATACAATTATAACCAGAAAAGTTCTACCGTACACCATCTGATATAGTAACAATGGTGTTTTTTGTTTTTTTTTTTGAGACAGGGTTTTGTTCTGTCACCTGGGCTGGAGTGCAGTGGTGTCATCAAAGTTCACTGCAACCTCAAACTACTGGGCTCAGGTGAGTAGTTGGGACTAGAGGTATGTGCCACCATGGCTAGCTAATTTTTAAATTTTTTATAGACATGGGGTCTCACCATTACCCAGGCTGGTCTCAAACTCTTGGCCTCAAATGATCCTTCCACCTTAGCCTCCCAAAGTGCTAGGATTACAGGTGTGAGCAATTGTGCTTTTAAGTTATTTAACTTAGGGTGGAACTCTTTGGAAGCTCTGATTAATTGACTAATGTTTCTAGTTTCTAAATGTCTCCTCTACCAATATCCACTAATTTTCTGGAAGGGAAGAAAGAAAGAAAATGGGAGACACAGAAGCCTGCCTGTCCATTCATTCTGTCGCTTTTTTCTTTTAATTAATCATACGTTCTGGGCTCCTGGACCCTGGACCATACTTCCTTAGGCACAGTGAGGACTCCTTCATGCTGAGGGTCTGGATCTTCAGGGTCCCGGTTATTTGGGAAGAAAATATTAATATTTTCTTTCCATCTCACCCACTCTTCCTTTGTGCTTTTATTTCTCCCCTCAATTCCAACCACAGTGTAAGCTTGCTGCTGTTGCAGTCTTGTGGTATCTTCACGTCTGTGATGGAGGTGAAGAGGTGCTAATGGGACATGCTCAGCAGGCACGGTGAGTTTCAGTGGAAAGTGACCCTGTTTATGAGCTAGATTCAGGATTCTAAGGGTCTCAGCCCTACTTTTTTGTTGTTGTTTTTTAAGTCTTAAACTTGGCTTGCGATTTCATGAAATAACAAAATAATAGGTACTTTACAGTATTTACAGGAAGACTCATGTCCTATGAATTATTTCTCTATCTCCTTCTTCTGTCATAATTTCAAAAAAGAAGGAATCGCTTTTAGAACTAGCTCCCTCCACTAAAGAGAAAAAGCATTAACTGAATTTAAAGTGCCTGATCAATATTTGCTGATATGATTAACACTATTATGAATTATTCTTCCTTATCACTGATTTTCTTACTGACAATAATTAAAGCTTTATGATATTTACATTTCAGGGATGTTTCTGAATATTTTACTTTTAAGTAAACATTTCAGTCAGTATTTTGAATAGGTAATAATACATTCATACAGCAAAAGAAAGCATTTCTCATTTATATACTTCATCTTTTAGCCATATGATTTCTCTCCCCAGAGGCAACCACTGTTCTAGTTTCTTTCATATTCTAGAGATGTGATGAATTATTTTCAATAATCATAATATGACAAATTTTAGTGGCTGTTCATGTTCTGGCCTAAGGTACTATGATTCTAACTTCCCATTTTATGTTGCTGTCTTATGACTGATTTCTTATATTTACACTGTAGAGAATAATCTCACAGTTCATGGTAGATCAATTTTAAAATAAGCTAGTTCTGCTCTTCCTATGCTCAAGGAGACAAAAAGTTTGTGTGAGGGTTTTATTTTAGTTTTCTGGCCTTTTGAGTTTACATGATTTAAAGAATTATTTTAGAGAAAACTAAAATATTAGTATTTACATCAATATTCTTTCATGACAACTTCAATACCAAAGATTTTCACTTCAAAAGGACTTTTCTGTCCATACATTCAAAGTAATGTTAACAATGAGAGAATTGGTCAAATAAATGACCTGATGAAGAATCAGCTTTCTAATCTTGCTCCCTTACGTTATGGGCAGACTGAAAATAAATTCTTCCACTTATAGTTGGGCTTTCCTTAAAAGGAGGCAACTTTTCACATTGTAATTTACTTGTCAAGTAATTTACTTTTCTGTTGATAGGTTATCTTTTCCCCCTTTTCAACTTAGAACAGGGAATGCCTGTCTACATGCTCATCTTTAATCCTCTGTAAGACCTAGTACAATATCTTATGTTTATAGGCAGCTATTACACAATGACTAAAAGCATGCCCACTTACTATGTGACTGTGGGCAACTTACTTAACCTTTGTGCCTTGGTTTCCTCATCTATAAAATGGACATAATAATAATAAAACCATAAGATTGTTATAAGGAATAAATGAGATAATGCAAGAAAAAATCTTAGATATAGGGCACATAGAAAACACTCAATAAATGCTAACTATCATAGTAAATCTGTGTTGAAATTTAATAGTAATTTTTTAAAAGCAATTTATCTAGCAAATTCAGGAATGTATCTAAGAGCGAAAATTAGTAGAAAATTAGTAGAGTTAGAGAAAAAATATTTGGGGATCTTACCCAGGGTTTGAAGCCCATCTCTGTACAGTTTCTTCATCATCACCATCACACAAATCAGCAAAAGTAGCTTCTAAATCCTCTAATTGATGAATTCGAGTATCAACAATATCTACCAAATCTTCCTTTAAATACATTGAAAAGCTGAAATTACACAGTTATTCTTTCAAAAAACAAGCAAAATCCCATTACGATGAAAATCTTGGTTCAATTACTTAAAACATGATTTTCAAGTACTAACCATGGGCTTCACCAATAAACACAAACACAGAGAATGTGAACAGTCCTTTGAGATCACTTTAATAAGCCACAAGATATTATTAGTTATGTGATAACTGGATAAAATTCAAAAGAAACAAAATGGAGGATACCTCTGTTAGGTTGGTACCAGGCTTTTTAAATTGATACAGCTCTTGTAAGATTTTATACTCCTCCTGGAAAACAAAACAAAAAGTCCATATACCAGAAAAAAGTTATTTTTTTTCAATGATATGCTTTAAGTGTAAGATGGCCTTGCCTGTGATACAAGGAGAACATCTTAGACAATTATTTAAAGGTTTGTCTGGGAGATTCAGGCAAAATATATATTTTAGATCACCATTGCAAATAGCATTTCTTCGTGGTAACTATCCAGCTGGGCATGGCATTAAGGTATAAAAATTAGCTATGGAAGAAGACTAGGTGGCTAATGGGTCATGAGATGAAAATATTTCTAATAATATTCCACTATATAAGTGGATACAGATTTTAGCTGCTTATAAGAAATATATATATCTTTAATAACAACAACAACAAAAAAACCCCTCCACATTCACTTTCCAGCCATTTCTCTAGCAAAAGAAGAGAACTCTGGAGCACAAAAGCAATCTGG